CATGTTTCATCTACATTCTTAAGAAATTATGTTTACCTGGAATGCCATTGCTTGCTTCCCTTGTTTTCTTTATGCACTTTCAACAAATTGCAGTCTACCATTCAAACTTTCTTTTGAGAATGATTTTGAAAGGAATGGACTTTAAAAATAAGAATGGCTTGTGTTATGGAAGAGTATAAATACATCCATAACTAACATACACATTTATCTGTTTGCAGACATTCTAGGATAGGTCTAGGTCATAGTTAAAAATGCATAGCAAAGAATCTAAAAAAGAAAATAAGAACAGAGTTCTCATTATTTAAAATGATCATTTTTATAAGTATAAAAAGAAGTCCAACAGTAAGCAGCAGAGTTTGCATGAAATGCAATAGAACATTTTTGTTATGCAAATAGAGTTAATATAATTAAGAAAATGCACTGTGACTGTCTTCAAGTTAGAACTAAGCTGCAGAGTTCAGAAACAATGGATGAAAAAAAGCAGAAAGGTATTACTCAGAAAAGATAACTATTGGTGACAAGTGACTATATAGTAACACCAGAGATTACTCTGGTGTAAAAGAACTGCTTTTCATGGCTGAAAAACTTCAGGATCAAACACCTGGAACAAGATAAACAGCTTTACTTAAAACATACTTCCATGAAGTAGTTTGCTGTCCTTTAACTTTCACTACTTTTATGGGCATGGTTAGTAGGAGGAAAAAAGGAGGGAGGGACAGGGAGAGAGAGAGCGAATCTCTCAAGAGTGGTGTGGTTTGGTCAAAACCTCCAGACCTTGAAAATCTTTGCATACTAACGTCTGAAACAGGTGGTCCTGGGCTCATTTTGTGAGCATAAGTTGCTGTGTGTCGACCTTATGCTCCTGAGCCTTCTCAGATGTGTAGCCAGGAGGGATCTGTTTGACTGTGTGTGATTTTTTTTATATCTTTCAGCTAAATCACAGGTCTTAATGCAAAATGCACTCAGAGACAGCACAGGGAATTGTGACACTCCCTATAGGACTTTTTCACTATAAACCAATAAATGGATTACACTGATCACACAGTTTTTCATCTGTGATTGCTAAAATGTGGATAAAGTCTTCAATTTAATATTTAATAGTACTAATCTTCATTTAATCAGCAATACAAGCATAATTTATTGGAAACCTCATAGTCTATTGTGAATGGAGATTTTCTGTGCTAGTTTCTAAGGGCTGGGAATAGAGCAGGCACATAAGAAAAGAAAAGAAAATTCCCATCAATGGTATGCAGAAAGCTGGAGATGTAAAGAGAGAAGGGAAGATGCAAATAGCAATAGTGGGTGCAAGCATGGGTATTGCTTCACATTTAATGACTGACTGCGTTAAGGACCCCGGTCGTCTCCTCTGGCCAATCATTAACTGCTTGGAAATGTCCTCCCATTAGCTCTTATTGTTAACAACAAGTTACTAATACATATTTAACAGTATTCATTATTTTTTTTAACTGCTTCACAACGGCCTCAGCGAGCGAGCATGAGCAGCTGGAAGCTGCATCCCCAAGCCCTGAGAGGCAGGGGAGGGGATGCAGGAGCTCCATTTTCCCCGGAGCAGCCGCGCCGCTGCGCTGCCCTGCTCCGGCTCCGCCAGCCTGGCTTTGTTACGGGAGCCCTCGGCGGGCGTGCGGCCGGGCGGATGCGGCACAGGCCTGGCTCCTGAAGCATCACCAGTGCACATTTAAACCAGTGTTGAGCATATAAACTCTTATTTTTTCCTTTTTTTTTT